TATTCAGAGACCCGGCTCGCAGGGCGGTCACTCCAACGGCAGCCAGAGGGCTCTACGCGTTGATTAACGGCCCCCTGAGTCGATAAGGGCCTACATGTTGGTCAAACACCACCAGTATCGCACAGCCTGCTCCGTGTGTGCATATGCCTGACGGCCCATTTCCCAAGCAGGAATATAACCGGAGCCAACGATTTACGTTGGTTCGGGCCCCACAGGCACTAGCGGGGCCCTGTGTCGGCAAGAGCCCAAGTCGGCCAGAGGTAGTGTTCGGGGAGGCTTGAAGAACCTGAAGGGCCCACCGGGTCCGACGATCAAGGGCCCGATTGGAGGGTTTGAGGGCACGAAGGGTTGATCGGAGTCTTATTCACGGACTCCAGCCTGTAGGGATAGACCCTCTCATGACGGTCAGAGAACCCTTTTCGCCGATCGAGGACCCCTGGTCCGATAGGGGGCTATATATCGATCAGGCACCACCAGTACTGCACAGTCGGCTCCGTGTCGACATGCGCATAAAGGCCCACCTCTCAACCAGCTACAAAGCCGGAGCCAGTCATTTACACTGGCCGACACCCCCGCATCTATCAGGGGCCTTCAGCGCGTAAGAGAAGGTCCTGTGCTCGCGATAGGCCTCGAGCCGACCAAGGAAAGTGTCTGTTGAGGCCCGAAGGGGGACCTGGGCGGTCCAGCGGAACCGCACATTAAAGGCCCGGTTGGAGAGCATAGCGTACGTCGTAGGTATAGGGCATACGTCCGAAAGACTGGCTGTAGGTCACAAAAGGTGAGGACCCCCTGAGGCGATGAGGGTGCTAAAGTCGGCCGGTGACCACGACCACCGAACTGCTGGCTCCCTGTCAGGATCCTGAGGACCACTTCCCGAGCAGGAGCAGGGCCGGGGGCCACGATTTACATCGGTCTGGGTCCCTTAAACAGCGGTCAGAGCCCCTGTCTCAGTCAGGAGTCCACAGCGCATAATAGGCGGTCATGTGTCGGCTAGTGGCCACTAGCCGGCCACGGGGTTTGTTTGAGGAGGCCCGAAGAGGGGTCGGAGGGCACCTCGGGGCCAAAGATCAAGGGCCCGATTGAACTCGGACCCGGCTTTCGTCCGTAGTGCCGTGAGCTAAAATGTCAATCATAGGGCCTCTGTTATATAAATATGGGCCCTGTCATCAGGGCTTTCTACTCCTACTATATAAGGCTTCGACACGGAACCAAACAGTTGGCTCCACGTCTGTCTGAGCCCTTGAGAACCTGAACTTCTTCCTTTTGCGTTCTTCATGCGCGCAGGGATTGAATCTGGGCCCCTCGTGGGATAGACTAGTTCAAACTTTAAATTGCGTTCTGGACCCTTTTCCACTACAATGCCCCCAGCATACCCTGTCTCTTAAAATCTTGAACAAGCACTTTATGTCGGCAGGCACGAGGCCACGCCGCACTGCGAGCCTTATCTGATAACGCTGAAAAATAACAATGAGTCGGTGGCCGCCGTTTTCTCGTTTCACGCTGCTCCGAGGCACGACACTGAGCAGGACAACTTCATCAATGTGAATCAGACAAAGCATCACTTTTGTACGCCTTAAACTCCGCGAACTTATGCCGCACGAGGTCGTCAGTAATGGATTTTGTAGAGGTATCAGATTTAGCACGACTGAAGTGCTTGACGTGCAACAGAAACTTCTGTTAAATTCCTCTCGTTAACTTCGTTTTACATCGAAATAGCCGAGGTGAGTCAAGATCTTACGGAATCAACTGCGATCTTGGATTTTGATATTCATTTTTCATAGGAGGCCATATTATTGAGGAAAGCTGCACTAACCCAACGATTTAGCCGCTAAAACGCCGTGTCAAGAAAGAAATCTAATCTCCCGCGAGCATGTCACTGGCCGTCAGGTTCAAATAATCTATAAATTGAGTAACCGTGGATCTACATCTACTCCGTTAGCATGCATGTGTTCTCCCATTCTCCCTCATGTGAGAAACTAAGTCCTGCGCTTTCTTACAGGAGACACTAGGAACATTTATTTCCAGTCTCTATCTACTGACAGGTCGTTTTAGAGCAGTTGCAGGACTATTACCGCACGTCATCGCCTTTGTCTAAGGCGCTGTCTTCAGTGGGCGCTGACTGCATCAAATAACAGTTGGTCAGTCTTGACTATGTTTGCCTGCTATCGTGATTGCGAAAATTTAACACAATGCGCGTCTACATATCCGAAACAAACAAATCAAAAACTGTTTTGGGGAAGTGCAAAATTTTGAATGAAAAAGGCCTCTAGGAACTTCAATGGACGCAAAATAGCCCCCACTGAGCTCTGTGCGGGCAGTCGCCGGAGGCCTGCCGGCCGTAACCATGACGACAGATTGTAACCATGACGAAGTTTCCCTTCTCAGCTGTCGGAAACAGAAATGCTCCGAGACTGCATTGAACTGACGAGACGAGACTGACTTACAGGACTCTTCGCAAATACCTGTATTTTCCGGGCCAATGAGTAATCTTTCCAAACATCTTTTTGGCACGCTTTTTATGGATTCTTAGACGCATATTGGAACTGTGTGTGCGCTATTTGTGTGCACCATTTGCGGGATCATCAAAAAAGGTAAGCATGGCCAAAACGGAAATCTTTTCTTTGACCCATTGACGTCCGTGGTCATAACGAGGTCATCAACGAAAACGATTTCATTTATCAAGGATGTATCATGTTGCCCTGACACGGCGCAAACCGCGCCATTATTGCATCTTTCATCGCGGAGTAACTGACATTTGAATCATGCAATATCAGTACAATCTCAATGCTTTTCAGACATTTGCATGCTAAACTCACCTGAACAGGGTCACCACCACGATCGTCGTCGGCCTGCTCGGAGGTCTGTCTGGCGTCACTCGACTACGGAGTGTTGTTAACGGCGGGGTGCAAGTTAACGGCGGGGTGCAGGTTAACGGCGTGCCAAGCAGGGTAGGTGTCCACATGCAGTGACTTCGCGAATATGGCCATAGCGGAAGCTCCGTTGGTTGTCATGCAGGTGACGTGCTTACTGAGCTCAAGGCCGAATTCTACGAGTTTGCCCTGCAGAAGATCCTGGCACTTCTCTGGTGGCATCAAGCAGTGGCAACGTGCGACACCGGGACCCCAAACATGTGGTCGGCGGCGGACAGTCACACTCATACAGCGACGGTGTCTCAGGGACGTACGCCCGTCGATTGTGAGCGAGAACATTCTGTCCTTCATTTGGAATGCTTTGGCGAAGGTCCAGTGGGGCGCGGAAAACTGTAAGCGGTAGCCTCTCGCACACATTCTGTCTAGGATAGCATCCAGGGCACCGTCCGTTTCAGATAATGTTTTTTCCCCACCCGTCTAGCCTTTAGTAGCAATCCAAGGTGTTCGTTCCTTTCAGATTTTGCGGTGGACGCCAAGTCCTTTTGCAGAGCCTCTTGATATTTTCGGAACATTTTTGCAAATCCGGCACTCTGCTGTGTCGCCATCCTGGGTTTTTAGGGAGTTTTCACAATGTGCCTCCTTTAGATTCCACACAATGGACATGTTGAGCAATGTTGGCCTCTCAAAAAATGCACACAACACACTCAGGGCATCCGGCCCGCCTCATGGGTCACTCAGCCATGAGGCACTGGCAGTGACTGAAACACAGGGTATGCTCGCTCACAGACACGACGCTCGACCTGCTCCGGCTCGATAGTCTGTCGCATGTCCTTAAGTACGTACTATGGCCTGCTGTGCCCCGCCGTGAGGAGACGGCGCGCGAGAGACGAGCTCGATCTCGGAGGCTGAGACGGTGTGGAACAAAGCCGGGTTTAATTCTCATAGTCACCGGACGCGGCTGGCTTTTACGAGGATTCACAAGGTGCAGTAAGACTTTTGGACATGAAGCCAGAACAATTTTCCATTTTTGCGTATCAAACATTGTGGGTTTGTTTGCTGTTTTCCACGAACTACCGGCAACAGTTTTTGAACAATGTTTTTACAAGGACAAATTTCATGGGGTTCCCAAGATCCCGAGGACTTTAAATCCCCGTGACTCCGAATTGATGTAGTCCCGGGGTCCTGGCATCCCGATTCCGGGATGATCAGCCTGAGTAGTGGCGAGTGCTTGGCGGCAACTGACTCTACTTAAAAGCCTGAGCAGCGGCGAGTGCTTGGCGGCAACTGGTTTTCCTTAAAAGCCTGAGCAGTGGCGAGTGCTTGGCGACAACTGGTTTTCCTTAATAGCCTGAGGAGTGGCGAGTGCTTGGCGGCAACTGACTTTACTTAATGAAACAAGTGGTGTGGGCATAATTAACACGGTTTTTGGTCTTTGATGTTATTTCACGAGCATGGTTTAACGCGTGAAGCCGAACATTTTGCGCTAAACGCCCGTTTCGTGCCACTTTTTGCATAATGAAAATGGCTTGTTTGCTGTAACGTTTTAATTACGTGACCCGTGATCTTACCCCGTTGCCGCTCGAGCTTACACGGAATGCCAAATCGTGGAATTATATTTAAGTCTGAAACATAACCGTGCAATTATCGCACAACCAAATAAGCGGCGATACGGTTTAAGCCGCTAACACTTTGGCAGCGCACATACACTTCTTAGCTTACATGGGCTCAATTAGTAATTAAAATATTAGAGTTTGGATGTTCTGCTTTTGTGATCTTGAGTGGCCGTGCATGAACTATGATGACTTGAGCGCCGCACAAAGCTGTGGTCTTTTCAGCTTGAGGAACATTGCGCTTCCACCGTAGCAAACTGTCGACACAAGTATTACAGCTATAGTTTGTGAAAGAATGCCCGTCTCAGCCACAGTGCACTACATCAGAGTCGCCTCAATCTGTCGTATTTGTGGTGAGAGGGAAGGCCCCCCCCCCCCCGCCCCCAAATCACACCCGCCTGCATCCGCGCCTGTGTACTGGTGACCGACTGGTAGTATGGCCATCGGCCGGGAGGTGGCAGCAGCGTGGTGCCCTCGCTCGATAAGCTGGCATACTGTAGTACGCTGGCGGGGCGACGAGGGTGAGGACGCCCCGCGCGGCGTTTCGCCGCCGACGGAAGCGCCCTGGAGCAGTTGCAAAGGACTGGCTCACAGTCGTTGGACCGTCTCGTCGTCAGCCAGCACGTCCTCAGGTACGGTTTGTCCGAAATCGCAGGCACTGACCCCTGACGGTGACAGGGCCACGAGAACCCTTCTGGGGGCGGAGAAGGGGGCGGCGACTCTCTCCTGGCGCGGTGCAGCGGTGGCGGCATCGTCGTACGTAGCTGCGCTGCCGGCCGCCGCGCGCGCGCCGCCGCCGGCACCCGTGCGCCGTGTCCCGGATCGGCCCGACCGCTGCCGCCGTGACGTCAGAGACGATTTGATCCGCGGGGACCGGTTCGCCATGGCCGTCGACCCAGCCCCGGCGCCGGCTGTGCGCAAATGAGACTCACCAACTGTGCAGTTGCGCTGCACGGGGTCAACAGGCATGCCGGCTGAGGATCTTGACAGACCGGGGGGGGGGGGGGGGGGGGTCAGTCGCACCGGCCGAGTGTGAATCGACCTGGCGCGCTGAGGAGCGGTGTGTGGGTGTGCGCTGAGGAGAGGTGGGTGGGAGTGTACGCTGAGGAGCGGTGGGTGGGAGTGCGCGCGGACCGCAGCACCGAGCGGGCGGCCGTCGACGAGCGGCGGCGTGGCTCAGTCCGCTCGTGGCCCCGACGCGCTGTCCGGCCCTGGTCATGAGGCTGGGCGCGCCGCTGCGACCGCCACGTCCTTCCGTCAGCTGTGATTGCAGGCGAAGTTCGATACTTGTCAGGTGCCGGCCAGGCTCAAGGTCGGGCATCGCCCGTCGCGCTCGGTGGTGTTTGGTGTCGGGCCGAGTCGCCGGGTACGCGGAAGCGGCCGGCCGCAGGGGCCTAGCGCTGCAGCGGCGCGCAGGCCGCCGCCTCATTGCGCAGCTGAGCGAAGCGGCGCGCCGCCGGCGGTCGTCAGCTGGCGGGTCGCGGTCCGTGCAGCGGCGCCACAACGGGCCACGACCGCCGCCGGCCGTGCTATCGCCGCCGGCTGGCTGGCGCACAGGCGCCCGTGTCGCCGCTGCCGAGGGCGGCCTGCCGGCGCGGCGCGCGGCGGACGCCGCATCAGCGGCAGTCGCCAGTCACGACACCAGCGTCCGGCGGGTCGCCAGACGTCCGGCTGGTGCCGCTAGACGTCCGTGAACTCTGCTGAGTCTTATGTAATATGTTTGTCCGCTTACTGTGCAGCGCCGGCGACAGGGCCTCGGTGCTTTCGTCCATGGTCTCGCCAGCGTCGATTGTAGGCTGTACCTAGTTTGATTTATGGAAAAAGCCTTGTTATTGCAAGATAGCAAGTCATTGCGAGTAAATGGTCGGAAATCAATTGACGAGGACTATGTGCAGCAGGACAGTCATGCGTCCAATGGTTTGACGTTATTTAAAACCCGTGAATGGAATGTGAGGTGTTTTTGGGCGCTCGATATTAGTTTTTTCCCGTTTCGCCTCACATTTTTTGCCGCGCGTTGAGAATGCCACAGGGAAACAACTTCGTAACGTAAATCGTTTGTAACCCGTAAGGAGGTAAAGTGGTAAAAATGGTAAGGATCACGTTACTTTGCGAGGACAGAACTTGCTCAGGGATATCCAAAGTAATGTGCAGAGGATGCAATAACCCGACTTGGTTAGCTGGGAGTATTCGGGAAAGCTCGGAGTGTTCCGGTTTTGTGCTGGGGTGCGGCTGCATCGTTGGTGAGCGAGATAGAAACAAGCGTCAGAGAGGTGATATGTGACCTGTTCGTGGATGAACCGTTACCTCAAAAGAAGGGAAAGGCTCAAAAGCCTCCAAGAGTTTTCTGCCATAACTTTGGAAAGCTTTCGAGAGTAGATGAGAATGAGACATGCGACGTTTCCGGCGCATACAATTGTCTTAAGCATTGGCGCGTGAAGATTTACCAGAAGACACACGGCTGCTACTAGCTGCAGCTAAGCTAAGGCTGCTAGCTGTTAGCTGCTAGCTGCAGCTAATGCAACATAGAAAGTCGTTATGTATATCTAGATCTGTAGACTTGTTTATGTGAATTTTCTTAGTAAGGCCCGTACCTGGAGACAATAGTCCAGGAGGCATACACAGTTTTGTTGTGAGGAAGAGAGATATCTGCTGTTGCTTTCCCCTGCAAGATGCAGATAATCATCCATCTTCCGACTAAAATGTCATTTACCTCCAGGTTAAGAAACTGAGCTTACAAGAGGTCGAAGGTACCGGGTGAGAAGATCGCGTTTCGCGGGTCTCAAGTAAGAGGATCATTTGCGAAAGCTGATGACACTTTGTATTTCAGTCGACCATAGAATTTTGGATGGAATTTTGGAATTCATGGAATTTTGAACGCTCTGTGCAATAAGCTGCACATCCGTCGCCAAATTAAAGGTCCCGATAGATAAATCTTGGCACGACCACATACTGACAATAATGCCCAATAATGAATACTTCACACTAGCTAGCAGGCGAAATGTGTGCATGATGAAGTGCTGGCAAGTTCAAGCAAATTTGGACTTTCGACACCAGCTTAGGACCCCTGGGAAGAGCCTAAGACCAATGCGTAGGCCGCCTGAGCCATCAAGAGTCTTCCATCTAGTCTTCTAGATTTACACTAACACGTAGGGCCTCGGAGCGATCGAGAGTACACCGGGCGACTAATATGTTGGACCTCAGTCAACGGCGTGGGCCTTAGGAGAAAATGGAAAAACTCAAGGCCAGTGTGGACGGCACCTGCAATCGAAGGTGCAACGGCAGGTCAACACATAGACCCCCGTCAATAGCGTAGGGTCCTTCAAACAAACGAGCGGAGCTCTCGGGCTCGGTGTTTTGCAGGTGAACATTGCGCAATCATACTTTCAATTATGTAATCGCTCTGTGATTTCATGTGCAAAATTTCGAATAGTTGTTATAAAAATGACATTGCTGACGCTCAAGGGACGCCTGTTGAGATGAATTTTGTTGGACGTCTTTATGTCACACACTTGGAACATCACTTTCCTCTGGAAGCTGTAGACTTTGAGCTCTAGTGTAAGGTGTAATTTATGAAGCTCACACCCTTTTTGTACAAAGAACCCCGACTCACAAATCGCAGAGCTCCTTTCGCTGCTGCCGGTTTTCAAAACAGGCGGCTGGTATTATGTTTGCACCAGAAGTTTCTCGGAATATGCAAGGTTATTGAATAACATCAGTAACTTTCACGCCCGCTGTAGCAGGGGGGCGGGGGAGGTGAGTACGCAATGGGAAGGTAAAATGGGGATAAAATGCTTTTGAAAACACTACATTATTAGCACACCATATGCTCGATCCGTGGCCAAACAGCTTGCTTGCTTGCCAATGTCCGGAAAACATTACGGCTGAGCTTTGGAGGGATCGTGCTGCTGGATGCTGGAGGCTTTATGGGAGACTTGCGATACGACAATTGTTTATAGATGTACAAGTCTCTGGATAGCGTAACTGGCCCGGCCGGAGCCAGCCGGACCGTCGAAGCCGCAAAGTTATCGTTCAGCCTACCTTACAACTCGCTTGATCTGTGCCTTCGTTCGTGGTGATTTACTTTCAGCTGCGTTTTTGTGCACAGTGTTGCATTTTCACTCACAAGAGAAGCCTAAGATAAAAGATTGAATGCATTGCTTCTACCGTACCGACTCTGAAATATCGAATCGGCTCCGTCGCTACTGGTACAACACCTAGGCTGTCGTGAGCAGCACTCGACAATGGTGCCAGCAAAGCTCGACCTGTATTGGATAAGTCAAAGGCCTTTTATAAGTGCCAGTCGTGTTTCATCTTTTATTCTTGGTGCCTAATTGGCAGGGCGAAAATTGTAAGGGGCGGGGTATCGCATCGTCCCTCCCCCCTCCCCCCAGACTTGCTCCTCCTGTCAGGGCAAGCAACTTGTTCAGAAAGAGCTAGCCGCCTGATGTGAAGTTAATAACAGATTTTAATACAGTTCACTTGTTGAGGCACGGCGAAAGGCGCCCATCAGGTAACACATGTCGCGCCAGGCTTGGAGTATGCCTAAGGTATGGTGGTTAGTTTGATGACAGTTGAGGCGAAGCTCGAAGCGTACACGCGATTTTCATAAGGGGGCATGACCTCGTGGAGACGCCATATTTGACGTCACTCCCAGTGCTGCTCGCCACTGGTTCGAAATCTGCCACGCACTCTGCCGCCCTGGCTATCGAGATCCTCCTTTTTTTCTCGTTTTTTCAGTCTGAGACAGGAAATCCAATCGCAGATCGAGTTTAAACGTGAGGCCCCGGCAGGTTCTGAGGATGGAACGCCAATCACTTCTGTTGTGATTGAGCTATCTCATTAGTCTAGGGCAGGTGCGCCTGCTTTCCTAGCAGCGGCACTTATCCTGAAATTTGTTGAGGGACAATGTATGATTGAACGTTTCGATTATGTGCATCATGTTTAAAATTGCAGTGATGAAAGAGACTATCGGTAATGGACTGATTACTGATGACGGTACTGGGTATATACTTAATGAGCATTTTGTCATATCATATTACATTACGCTACTGGTGACAATTTTTCCTCCAGAAATTTGGTCTGCGACAAAAAGTGCACTTTCACCACCCCTGCGAAAGGGTATGTCGATGACTGTTCCCGCATGCGCCCGTGGATTCGATGGGTTTCACCACCTCGCGTCCCTGAATTCTATCATTTGGTCCCGCCCTCGCTCGCCCAGCAAATGGTCCTGGCAGGAAGCCAGCCTTTACTAGCAAACCGTGTAGAATACGCGTCAAGACTGTCGGATGGTCGATGTGCTATTACGTAACCTTTCTAGCCTCTTTCTATGCTCATGCGACTTCCCCTCCAACCATTTTTGGGACAGTCGCGAGCAAAACAGGCGCCCACAGCGGGAAGCGGCGCAAAGCGTTGGCGTCCGTCGCGAATCCGTTATTACTGGTGCTGCACAGACTCGTTCCTGGTTATTCCTGGTGCTGCACAGACTCGTGCCTGGTTATTCCTGGTGCTGTACAGACTCGTGTCTGGTTCCCGATGCTGGTTTCTGGTTCCCACACCTGAAAAAGAGATATTGGGTTCTTAATCCAGGCTGGATATTTCATCAGCCCCACCCCATGGTTCCTGGAATCTGTTG